TTTATTAAATCTACAGTACAAAGTACCTTACAGACTAACGACAAATTAAAAATACTTATTGAGTAATAGAGTTTAAAACCATTACAAAAGCAGATCTGGGTAAAGAAAAATCAATCAACTGAGACTTTAGACAAGTCATTGAATTCTCGAAGTGCACGAGAAATAGGAGCATTACTTGAATATTTAGTTTTATGGCTTTCGCCATAAAAAGGGTAGAAATTCCGCAGATTTCTTTGTGGAACATTATAGCTTATCCACTCGAGTAAACTTGGGCAATCAGTTATGCCGGTAATTACATTTCGAGAGATGTTAAATTGTAATGGGCGTAGAACGTACTTAAGGTAAATTTTTTGAACTCGCTCATTTCTATTCATAGAAATGTGGTCATATGGACGCCAGATAATGGGCCTTATGCATAAAAAGTGAGCTTAAGCTCAGACTCAATTTTTGCACAGAAGGGGTGAGCTCAAGCTCAAGAATTTGTACTGAAAATCGAGTCGGAGCTTAAGCTCACTTTTTATGCATGAGGCCCAATAGCTGCATATTCCAAGTGAGAACGAACAAGAGCGGTAAATAGAAGCTTAAAGGTGTGTGGATCTGAAAACTTTGAGGTATTACGCCGAAGAAAACCCAGAACCGAGTACGCTTTAGGAATGATAAGATTAACGTGACTGTTAAAGGACAACTTAGAGTCATACACTACCCCAAGGTCCTTAGTTTCCAAAACATTATTAAGAACGAAGTTAGCAATGGAGTAAAGCGTGGGAGTGGCATTATGTCGCCCATGATTCAATAATACAAGGTTCGATAAACTGACAGTTATCTCTCTCGCACCGCTCCCTTAGCAGTGGCACCGTGTTGCTTCTTTGCAAATTTACTTGGAAAAAGTATAGCTTTGGAGTGAAATACAAGTATAAGCTTTTGTGCAATATGTTTATTTGTATATGAATATGGAGCATATTTAACTGATGAAAACATAAATTGTTTTTAAATTGGATATTTTCATCATCCTCATAGTAGTTTTATATTAATTTTGAGTCTTTTTGCAGATTTTATACAGCTAAATAGCACATAAATTACATATTCACGTAGATATATCAGTATTACGTTCAATATTTCATTTAAAATGCCCGATTTTCTGCAAATACATTAGAATTTACAAAAAGAGTTTCAGTACTAATTGCCTACTTTTCGTACTTTTCTACTACCGTTTTCACACCAAGAGATTTCATTCATTCATTATTGAATCATATATGTCGCCTAGTAAATGTAATGTGAAAACATTTTTTGATGGTCATGGAAAGGCGTGACTTTTGACACAATGAGTGAAGATTATTCAAATCACTTCGAAGTTTCGTTGCATCTACTGTGTCCTGCACAGTCGAAAAAACTTTCAAATCATCGGCGTAAAGCAAATAGATTGAAAAGGAAAAGCAACTGCCTTTATAACAAGAACAAATCGGAGAGGGCCTATAATGCTTCCCTGGGGAACACCTGACGTAGCAACAAATTGGTTCAAAAATACACCACCAATTGAAACTACTCAGCGCCTATTATACAAATACGAACTAATCCATTTTAATAGAGAGGAATGAAAACCCAGGCAAGCTAGCTTATTTACTAGGATATTGTGGGACACTCTGTCAAAGGCCTTAGAAAAGTCAGTATATATGCAGTCGACTTGGAATCCTGCCGAAAACGACGAGATGCAAAATCCACTAAAAACCATCAAATTAGAGACAGGTGAACTGCCGGAGACAAATCCGTGCTGGTTCGGGCAGATTAAGGACTTGACCGCGAAATAAACTTGGTCTTTAACAACGCTTTCAAAAAGTTTTGAGACGTTAGAAAGTTTCGAAATAGGCCTATAATTCCGCACGTCATTTTTACTTCCACTTTTGAAAAAAGGCGTAATGGTAGTTAACTTCCAGTCGTTTATGAAAGTACCTGAAGATAGCGATTTATTGAAAATTAACTTTAAAGGGATTGACAACGCTGGGCAGTTTTTAATTTAAAAAGCCTAGAGTCTGTCAACGTCTGTTTGCGTAGAAGGCTTGAGAGAAAGTATCGCCTTCATAATATCTTCGGTTGAAATACGCAAGGTACCAAGATTAAGAGAAGACACTTCAGAAGAAAAATCGGGGGATTCCTTATCATCAAGTACATAATTTGGCATAAAAAATTCTGCAAACAAATTAGCTGCATCGACAGGGGTATTGGCTAATTAGTCATCAAGCATTACCGAACCGGCTAAACACTAACATATGTGTAAGCTCCAATCTATTATTATTATTAATATTAATATTATTATTATTATTACCGAACTAGGTATACTTGCGCACAACTTTTTTGATTTCACAAAATTCCAAAAAGATTTCGGATTAGCTTTAATGTTCTGCTCGGTGTTTCGTATATAATTTTTGTAAAGCATGCGGTTTAAAGATTTAAATTCCTTATGGTAATCCTGGTACTTCAGAAAGAGTAAATGAACACCAGTTGATTTGAACTTCTTTAGATACTTGTTTTTGATATTTTTTAGTTTCATTAAAACTCTATTATACCACGGTGATTTATAAGGCCGCTTTTTTTCAATGGTATATTATTTAAACAGATTTCATTCATTATTGACTTAAATGTTGAATAGCAACTTTGAGTATCCAAGCCAAAAAATATTTCGCCCTATTTAATCTCTAAAAGGGAGTTATTTAAACCTGGGAAATCAGACCATGCGTAATTAAAAGCATTTCTAACGTTAGGCGTTATGGCTGAGAACTCATAAAACTTTAGCTTAATATCTAAAGGCACATGATGAATACCAGCATCGGAAATAGGTGAAATGCATTTCGTAATACAAAAATTAATATTATCACTTATATAAATAAGGTCTAACAGTCTATTTAAATCGTTAAAAAGAGAGTTAATTTGTTTTAGATTTAGACTTAAGAAACTGTCAACAAAATAGGTTTCCTGATTGGAAACAATGTTATTAGGTATGAGACCGGTATTAGCAGAATTACTACACCATCTGACATTACATAGGTTAAAAGCACCCAGAACACAAAGATGGTTATCATTTAAATCACATTATCCACGTGGGCTTTGTATAACTCAAAGTTGCTGTTAGGTGGAATATAAGAAACAATTAAATATAAAGATCCGTATGATCGTGAGTCCTTGACGCAAACGCAGAGTTGATCAAGCAACGAATCATCATTGCCCAGGTTCACTGAAAATGCACGAAAATGCCGTTAAACGGCAATAAGAACACCGCTCCTCTCATGTAGCCGGTTTTCGTGAAATCGCGATCTTTGCGGAACACAACGTACAGCAATGACAAGCACGTCGTAAGCCTCCTGTGCACTGAACTCAAGAATTGTTTTTGTTTTTGTTCTTAGACCAGAAATGTTTTCATAGTATAATTTAAGTTCAGCGTTAGATTTAGCAGTATCATCACACTTGTTATACTGTTTGGGTTTGAACTGTTTGTCTTTGAAAAAAACGAAATTGCTTGACTTTTACATTCGCTGGCCATATTGCCGCATCTAAAATTTTTTGATAGTTAGTTGATGGGACACCCAGTTTAAAGTCGACACGTTTGTGTTTCCCTACTGGGTCATCTTTTTTAACCAACATGTAGCAAGAGAGAGAATTTTTGTCAATACTCGCGTGCTTAGCTACATAGCTTATGATATTCTCAGCAGTAACTTTCGGCTCAAACGAAGATAAATATACCCCTTTGTTTCAGTTGGCTGAGTAGCGCAAGCAGCAACAACAACAGTGTTATCTGGGCGAGGGTCAGCAACAACGGTACAAGCGCAAGCAGTGGCAGCAGGAATAGAGGTAGAAGAATTCACGTTCAAGCTTAGTATCCAGCTCTTAAGAAAAGCAAAAACTCCATATAAAATGACGTACAAGAAATAGCTAAGAAATTTTCTTGAGTCAAATTTCCTTAAGGCAGTACGCAGTTCTTCAGAAATTTAGTACGCTTTCTACTACGGTTTTCTAAAGTTTTTTGTGAAAAAAGAGCACAAGGCAACCCAGGTTTGCAACAGAAATATATGCCCGTTCCATTATTTCTTGAGGAAAGAGTGAGGCAACAGGCTGTGAGGTATAAAAAATGTCAAAATTCCTTGGACACACACGCGAAATAATGGCAATTTTTTCTTGACCGTTTTCTTAAGAGCTGGATACTAAGCTTCAAGGGCGATTTACCAAGGTCAGCGACCTTAGATCTTGAGCGCGTAGTTCGCAAGTTGCCATTATCAGCTACATTACTATAATTCGCTTTGACGTTAGCAACATTGTTGTTAGCCACATTTGATGTTAGAGAATTTTCCGGGTTATCAGACGTACGGGCGATTTTCCCCCCAAGAAAAGCAAATTTAATTTCCTTTTAAGGAACACAATGCAGTTTTAAGTTTAGCAAAGCGCGTTGAGATGGGCACACATCAGCAGGTGTCATATTTAAATTGCAGATTTTGGTTTGATTTTAAGAGTTTTAAACATGCTGAATTTAGATTTACGCCATTCAAATGAAAATTCTGTGAACAAATTCCGCACGGAGCAAAATCACCATCCACGCACTGCGTGCCGCAATTCACACAACACGGCATCGCGAACGTATGTGTGTATGTATGTGACTAAACTGAAAATAAAAAAACACGACGGAGCTAAGTAAAAGAACGTCCGCCACAGTATACCAGTAGAAAAGGTTTTTGTTTTTGTAGCTGTTTCGTGGTGAAAGTCCTTTATGGGGACCAAATTTCCCCACAAGAAATTGAGTGCATGGTTGCTTTTGCGTCCCAAAAGAATAAATATTAGAAAACATTTAAAAAAAGTCTAAGGTAATACAATTATATGCTACTAAAAATAATCACAATAATTTGCACTTATGAGTCCATGTGATAATCATGTGTAAAAACTCTTTTCAACTATTATTTTTCACAAAATAATTTTGCGGCTCAGTTTGCTCTGAGCGCTTGTGCTGTTTACCAAGAAAACTGTATCGCATCGCGGTGAGTTTCTATTTCTTGGTAATTCGGTTTGTGAAATGGTAAACAAATTATTGAAATTTATTTATTTGATGTGTATAAGATTTCATTAATGCATTTTTTTGTATTTTCAGACTATTAATTACAAGCACAGCATCATCAACGGTGATTGCAAGAACTACTGCAATCCATGCGGTTTTTCCTCTTGGTAAATGCGTTCTGGTCGTGACCAAGGGTGGTCTCCCAAATCGGCCGGGAATAAGGTTAGTCATTTTAAATTATATATCTTTGTTCGTCGACATTATATGACATGTCATCATTGCAGGCTATTGTTGCAGAACGAAACGCCGCAACCACTGCTGTGGTAAATATATTCCAGCAGAGCTGCCCACCGCCGTCGGTGTAATGATTTCGATAGCTGAACAAACGCCATCTCCTGGGCATTCCCACAGCTTGCCGACACTAGCTATTATATCACGTGTGAATGCAACTGCGGCTTAATTTGGTTATTAACAGTGCAATAGTGCCATGTCATTGGCAAAAACACTAAGGGCTGCTGGCAAATATAGGTTGTAAAGTTTTTGGTATCGATGAACTTACTCGAAGAAGACGATGGCCGAAAACATATGATGAAACAACTTCTGGCATGCCTTTGACAATCATTAAGTCAGACGGAGGCTTCACATACGATATTTCACACATGGCTGGAATTCTTAACGGACAGAGCACACATTTAAAAAATATATTCATAATAAAAAACATTTTCATTTCAGTGGCGCTGTCCATCGGCAACCCAACTGAGGTTCCGCTCCCATCCATAATCGATCCATAAGTCATAATCGCACGAACTAATCAAGGCTTCATAGAATCCATCGTAGTCCGATTTTTCGTGAAATCTACGAAAATGCTATTAAGGTCGAATAGCTACGAACGCAGCGCTTGCTTTGAATACACACGTTCATAGCAGTTCAGATTCAGTGATCGCTTTTTCGTAGATTTTAAGAAAAATTGGACTACGATGGATTCCGCCACCAATATGTTTTCTCCTTTGACAAGATGTTGGAGAATCGCGGCAGCACAGCCGTATACCTACTCTATGCTCTTACGCGCATATACTAAATTTCTCGCACCTAGCTAAAGTGCTTGACAAAGGCAGAAGGCATATCTTCAACATTATAACTTAAAGTAAAAAAGTTTAAGGCATGCAATAAAAGAATCAACAGAACCAAAAAATGTCCTCAAAACTATTAAACATAAAAAATTGCACGAACAAAATTCATAATTTAAAATAAAATTTCGCAATTGTTTTTTATATTTACATACATATTTACAAAATGAATCTTAAAGCACCCACAGTAAGTCCTAAACATATAAATGACTAATAAGAAAAATAATAAATAACAGTAATATGAAAAAGTATGTCGAGAAATCTCTAAATAGTAGCGAAACTGTATCTCAATAATAAATAATTTTTAGCAAAAAATACAACCGATTTCAATGCGCATTCAGGTCGTTCTGGTTACGTAGATCCGACTGTCCTCCCTTGTTTTAAATCGTTAAAAAAAAATTAATATGTATTCTACAGAAAAAAATCAAGATACATATTTAAGGATTTTAAGCAAAAATAAATAAAGGAAAACTTGTTCATGATATCTCGACTAAGGTGTATTCATGATACAAAAATCTGAAGGTAAAACCGTTGAAAGGCAGCCTGAACATTTTTAAAGTTTGGTAACATTACAATAATGTTTTCAAATTTCCATTCTCACAAATACATTCTCATTATCAGTCTCAAATAAATGACAATTTCAATATTTTCATATATTTGTTTTTTGTTTTACATTTATTTGGCATTTGAGTTGCTCTCAAAATTTCAATTTTATAAAATAGACAAACTTCAAAAAGTAAATGATGGCCGACGAATTGTGCAAGCGGTTTTACCTTTAAATATTTGTATCATGGGTGTATTAAACAAGGGGCCGTATGCATAAAACCTAAGCAAATGCTTTTTCTTAAAATTTCAGACCTTTCACTCAATTTTTTCAAATAAATTTAAGTGAAAGGTATGAAAATCTGAGAAAAAGTAATTGCTTAGTTTTTATGCATACGGCCCAAGGTGTTATTGACAACTCAGTGCGGCTCTCTTTTAAGATACTATTATGTAAAAAAATATAAACAAACGATTCAAAATTCATACAAATTTTTTTCAATTTGACTATAGGATGGTTCTTCTGAGAGCAATGTCAAATTCAATCGCACTTTGTTAAATACATTTTGATCTCTACCAAATAATGTACTTCCTCTGTAAATATTTTATGAAGTGTTCCAAAATTCGCTCCGAGCGCGCTATTTGTTCATCATTTGTTTTAAATAGTTTGTCAAACAATTAATATNAAATATTTTATGAAGTGTTCCAAAATTCGCTCCGAGCGCGCTACCTGTTGATCATTTGATTTAAATAGTTTGTCAAAGAATTAATACTATAGTTTGATCGGAGTTAATATATTCTTCAGTAATGAATTATATTATATTAAAACATAAGCTTATGAGAAATTACTTAGTCTTAACATGCATATTTTATATCGAGATCCAAAATTCGCTCCGAGTGCGTTCACTATTGATCTTTTGATTCAAATGTTGTTTGTCAAGCATTCAGTAGTGAAGTTTGATCGGAGTTTATATATTATTCAGTAATTAGTCATATTAAATTGAAATATAAACGTATAATACGGTAGAAAGTTAGAAATTATTTAGTGTTAATATGCATAATTCGCTCCGTGTTCCAAAATTCGCCCCGATTGCGTTCACTATTGATCATTTGATTTAAATAATTGTTTCTCAAGCATTCAGTGTTATAGTTTGATCGGAAATTATATATTCTTAAGTAATTGATCACATTTTATTAAAATATAAACGTTGAATAGGGTAGAAATTGTGAAATTATTTAGCTTTAGCGTGAAAACTTACAACAAAAGCAATGTAGATGAAAGTACTAGATGTTATTATTAAAACTAGATCCATATATATAACATTTTATATCATTTTTTTGAAGTAAATCGGAATATATTTTTACATATAAGATAGTTTCCTTTTAACTCATAAAGTACATATTTCACTACAAATATTTTTAAGATCATTTCGAATTTCGAAAATAGCGGTAATTAGTTGTATTGAAGTATACAACATTTTATTACGGTCATATTTACTTATAAAGCGCACAACAATATTTCTCTCGCCATTTATCCGATGTTAAAATTTTTCACCACATTATTTTGCTGCACAGCACCCTGAATGCGGCAAAACAGTTGCTGGCAACCCTCAAGTCCTTTATGGGGACCAAATTAACAACCACAACAACAAAAACCTTTTCTACGGGTATACTGTGACGTCCGCACTCAACGACAGTTCAATTGAATTAGAGCGGCATTGGAATATGTAGATGTGTTTTCACCAACAACACCAATAGGCAAGCGCAGGTCAGCATTCGAAGCATTTAGAGCAGTCTGCGAACATGAAGTTAAGTTTTCAGCTGTAGCAGAACTTCCAGTAATAGGAGAGTGTGAGATATTTAAAGCAACAGAGCTCTCAGAATCCATAATGTTTATATCACAAACCTCACTGGAAGTATCCGTAGAATTCTCTCCATCTAAAATATGTTTATTGTTTTCACAATTTGCATGATTTATGGATGTGACTTCGTTTTTGATTGCACTAATATGGCCATTTAAAACATCAATGATGGAATCCAATCCATTTTTATGCATTTTATGCAAAGAGGAAGCGATCCAGATAAAAACAATTATTTAATAATTTATTTCATACAAATTAACTAGTTTACAAAAGTTATCTCTATTATAACACTGGTCAACAGCATTTTTGCAGAGTAACAATGGCATATGTATTTCTGAAAGAAGTAATACACCCCTATTGCGAGTGTCGAATATTAGTAGATAAACGACTCTTATTCCGTGGTATTGTAAATGTCAATTTCTCGTTCAACAAGCGACTGTGGATAATTTTTTATCGCTCATCCTCTTACAACTGTTTGTTTGTAGAAGGATGAGCGACTGTAAACTATTCACACGCACTTATTGAACGAGAAAACGACTTTGAAAATACCACGGATAATCGATAATCGACTAACAGTTGTTTATCTACTACTAGTCGACACTCTCAATAGGGGTGAATAATGTTGATAATTTTTGGAGGACAAAGTTATAGTGTAGTGCAGGCATTCATATGATTAGCTTATGGCCAATTTCAAATGAATATTTAAATGGCTCTTAAGTTTAATTGTGGATTGTAATTTAAATGCCATTTAACTTTTGTTAGGTTTCAGATCAACTTTGTTTAAATATGCCAAACAATTGGTAGCACTGCTGCTTGTTCCTCGAAATTGTTGTTGCATTTGCTTGTTTGTTTATTTACATTTTGTGCTAAACAGCTGATTGTTTTTTGGTGGGATTTAGTGGGATTTATTAAACAACCTACCAATAAATCTTGGTTGTTTCGTACAAACGCAGGGTTGCATATCTCATATTTAAATAGCCAACATTGGCCATTTAAGTGCAGATTAAATGTATGATCTGAAAATGATTAGTGGAAGTTAATCAACAATATCTACTTAAGTAGGCCATCTGAAATTGGGCCTTAGAGTGAAAAGTCCATTTGTAGAAATTTTACATGGGAGGAAAAACAACTTTTCAAAAGATTTCCTTCAAGAATTTTGCAAAAGGTTCCGTTGCAAATTAAAAGATTTATGGCCTTATTAATAAAAATAAAATAGATTTATAGAGCTCTATAAGGTTACATTTTCACACAGATCTTCGATTTATAAAACCCTTAAAGTCTTCTTTATTTTTTATGAATTGGTGTGTTTGAATTTTTTGTGAGCTTATAGAGTTTTCTGCGCCTCATTTGGACTTGATAAATTTCCCTTTACTTGAATATAAACGGGAAGAAATGAAACAAGCACGTTAGTTAATACTTTTAGAGACGATGCGTTTTTAATTTACCTTGCTTCCTATATCAAAATATGAGTTTTCACAAAATGTAGACTTCGCAACTTTTCACTTTAAGCTATCGATATGTTAATAAGATGATAATATGTAGGTCTTTCTTTGTAGGTCTTTCTTTTCATTGACAACTATACTGCCAACAATTTTTAACTATTCACAATAATAATTAGATTAAATAAGTAAAGAAGTATAAGTTCGAAACCGAACTTTATATACCCGGCGCAAGTATGAAATATCGTCATTTCAACTTTCTCTAAACAACATTTGCATGATAAGTAGGGGGGTTTTCCCCGATTTCTAACTTTTTCGATAAAATGCTGAATTAGGGCTAATGAAATAATTGAACCAAGTTTGGTAGAAATCTGTTAAGTAGTTCGGATACACCTTGTAGTCATAAAGTGGGCGATGCCACGCCCAATTCCTAAAAGTCTATAGCAGTCTTATTTGTTGCTAAGAGATTGTTGTATGATGTATTATGGAACGAATTTCCGTCATCCCTTGTCAAATTTGGTTTGGAGACAATAATACATCATACACCCACCCTGTCGGAAACAACAACAACCAAAAAGGAAAGATTGTTGTACTTATTAACTTGTACGAACGGCAATTTTTCAGTACATATGTAATTGCGTGTGTCTGTCAAATTCAGTCTTTATTTAACTATTTAAAAATACGTTCTTTGAAAATGCAATAAACTA